GGTATGGAGGTTCCTTATAAGAAACCTAAACGAAAATTTCAAAAGACTCGCGATAAAGATTCTGGTTATCGCGATTATAAAAAAAGGTTTAAGAGAAAACCTTTTAACAAAGATTTGCAAAAATCGAACAGAGYTGAAGCCTCTGCAAAACCTGAGTTTTCCAAACACAGAAAACCTTTCAAAAACTCTCAGGGTTTTAAGAAAAATAAAATTGTTTGTCAAAATTGTGGCAAGATTGGCCATTCTTCAGCAAATTGTTGGACCAAGAAAAAGATCAATAATTTAAATATTGATCAGAATACGAAAGATTCTCTYTTAAACATCTTTCTAAATTTCAAAAATTCTGATGATGAGCCTGATACTCAATCTGATTCTAGCTCTACTAATAGTACTTACGTCATTGGTGAAGATGACTCTTATTTATCTTCTGACTCTGAAGATTTACAATCTTCTCCTTGTGATACTTGCGCTATTGGTCAGCCTTGTATTAAAAAYTGTYTCAATGTTATTCAAAATAACACTTCTACTGACAACAATGATGAGTTTTATAAACTCCTTTCTCAATTCCAGGATCTGAATATTAATGTTTTAACTGATGAAAATGTTTTAAAACTTTTACAAAAAATTAAAGATCCTATGATTTGTTCTGAGATTTTAGAGAATCTTGAGTTTAATAAACCCAGTTCCTCTACTATTCCTCCTCCTATCAATAATATTGATTACTCGATGAAAGAATTAAATCGCCTTCTTCAGCATAAACATTCTTCTTCCACGGCGATTTCTGTCACTGATCTTCACAAAGAAGTGAACATTCTTAAGTCTGAAATTACTGCTTTGAAAGAAGACAATATTCTTCTTCATAAACATCTTGCAATTGTTTCTGCAAGTCAAGATCTTTTAGTTAGGAATGCTACTTTTCATGTTCCAACTGAGGAGCCTGAACATATCTCTCCTTCTGCTTCCACTCAACATTCCGAAAATACAACCCCGCATTCTGATAATGCAACTCTTGCTACTATCAGCCGAATGATAACTCAAAAATGGTTTACTAAAATTACTCTTCTTATAGATGGTCATTTTCAAAAAGAATTTTTAGCAATGATTGATAGCGGTGCCGATTTGAACGTTATTCAAGAGGGACTTATTCCCAGTAGGTTTTTTGAAAAAAACTTCTTGTTCCCTTTCTCATGCGGGAGGTGGTGCTCTTGACATCAAGTTTAAACTTTCTAATGCAAAGATTTGCAATCAAGGTTGTTGCATCACGACCAGTTTTCTCTTAACTAAGGTCATTTCTCATGAAATTATTCTTGGTCTTCCCTTTATATACCAACTCTATCCTATAACTCAAATTGATGAGCATGGTCTTACAGGTACCTTTAACAATAAAGCCCTTACCTTCAAGTTTATTGACCAACCTGTTAAACGATTTCTTGATATTCTTCAAGATCGTATTGATCGTAAAACTTTCCATCTTTACTCTCTTAAAGAAGAAATATCTTCTTTAACTATTGACGAAAAACTTTCTAACCCTCGTCTCAAATCAAAGATTGATTTCATTCATAATGATTTTTCTGTAAGCATTTGTAATGATCATCCCAACGCTTTTTGGGACAGAAAGAAACATATTGTTTCTCTTCCTTATGAAGATGATTTCTCTGAGCTCAATATCCCTACTAAAGCCAGACCTTGTCAGATGAATTCT